ACCTAGTGTGTCCTTATCCTGTAGGAAAGCACTTAACCTTTGGCAAAGGTGTGACTTTTTGTGTATCTGCTTCAGTTGGTAGGTTCAGATGGAAAAGCTGCCAGAATGTGGGTGAACAACGAGTGGTTAAGAGATCACAGTTCACCCTGTGCTCACACAGACCTGTTGGAATATGGTGTCCAATATGACTATCCGTGTGCAATGCCTTCAGCTCCAATCCAAAACCACCCTGATGTGTGCTTGTCCTCCAAAGACTGTCAGCTCCTTCAAGCCCCATCAAGAAACTGCAAACTTCTGGTAGTCAGATGAAATGTGTGACGTGTTTCAGCCATCTTTTCCCCTTGTGTTCAAGGTTCACCTTTATCTTGCTCATGTGAAAAACACTGAGCATCCCTTAACACCTGTTTGTGGTTTTAATTCCTGAAATAAGTTTGCAAAGGATGACTGGGAAAAGAATATTTAATCAAATTTTAAGGCTAAAGGCAGGACCAAGCCTTTACTCGCTTTTCTGTCTTAATGGTTTTAGCAGCAAGATACCTCCAAGTGCATGCTTACTGCACACATTATGGAAAGAGGTCATCTTCCTGTTCTCAGCAGGCAGAACATACCTTCCTTGTCTCACGTTCTCCAACATCTGTCTCGGATCTGGCAGTCCATGAGACTGAGACTGCAGCAGTTGTCTTCCCTCATGCTGTGAAGCCACAATACGTCCTGATGCACCCCACCAAAGAGTATGGGTTCACTTGGCGATGTCCTGAGAGGCTTTTCTACACTGTGCCTCTTTCACTTACCCAGAAGTTGCAGATCAGTTTGTCAAGAATAGCGCAGTAAACTGCAAATGTATAACAACTGAAGTGAAATCACACAATGACAATTTCTTGTACAGCATGAGTTTGAATATTGCTTCTTTTAGTGGTATTCATATTCTCCAAAATGAATAGAAGTATTTCTGTTGTAAAGATTTCTGCCATTTTTCTCTGGATTTATGCTCTGGAGACCAGAACAATTTCTAGGGAATTTGCAAGTACATTTAATCTAGTTTTGTTTTCTTAATTTGGCATTTATTTTTTTTTTTTTTAAAAAAAGCTAATTTTTAAAAATTTGTGAGTATCTGAATTATATTGCTTATTAAATGCAACCCATTGTGTGTCTCTATGATTCATAAAAACACACAGAATAGTGATAATTTTTGTAAGAAAGTGTTTTAATATGCATAGTGTATATCTAGTCCTGTTGCTCTTTACAGCATATAACTGGTGTGTTAAAGAATGTCAGTATAGACCAAAATTAGACTAAAAACTCTATTTGTTCAGCAAACATTTGATTGCTGTATCACAACCTTTTTATTACAGCATTCAGTTGAAAGATGTTTGCATACCTTATTGAGCAAGCTGCATATTTTTCCAGCTAAGGTGTGCATGCTGTAGTCATTATATTTTTGCACACTTCAGTGACTGAGCTGCATGGACTACTTTAACTATCACCAGGAATACTTGACTGAGTTCAGCTGCTTATTTGAGTGCTTCGGCTTGTGTACTGTATTACTTCAGTGGTGTATGTTGATAAAGTTCTGTGCTGTTAAATTTTTGGTTCTGCCAATCTAACTGTATACCATGCTGAGAGAACTGCATGCATTGCTAACTGCTTCCTCCGTGGTGAACATGCCTGGTTGAAATGTTATATTCTGTAATGTTTTGTAAATGAGCTGCATATTTTTGTTTTTATATACGTTGCTTACCCAGTTGTGTACATTTGCCCAGCTCATTATACAAAATAAGCTTGATTGGAATAAGAACATTCTCTACCAGCTGTCTGCTCTGAGTCAGTATGTAACAAAATTAGCAACTTTCTCTTTCCAACAGTGACATGATTGCATCCAAAGTTTAAGGCAATTGGTTTGGAGATCTTGTTTGTTTCATTCACTCCATGCAAACATCAAGATTAACAAACCAATTTGTTGCAACTTAATTTGTTTTCACAAATATGAACAGAGTTAAGTAACAGAGGAAAAACTCAGCATTCTAATACAGGAAAATGCTTCCATGTAGAGTGTTCAACATAGAGAGACCTAAATATCATTTCACAAGAAGATGGAAAATAACTAAAGACCTCCCAAGATGGATATTTCATCAGATAAGCAATATCCTAAATACTTAAAACTACAAATACAACATTTTGTAAATTAAACGCATGTTTTCATCAAGAGTTATAAAAATAAACTCATCTCATGACCATTAGGAAATCTCAAAATGCTACAATAGACAAAATACATGAAAACTCATGTACAGGGATATGTAGGTTGCTCATTAACTTTGGTACGAAATTGAATTAACATCTTTAAGGAAATTATTTTCTCAGCTTGCTGGTTTTTTTTGTGTCAGTTTCAGTAAAACCTACAAGTTGGTCTTAGATTTTGTTTGACTAATTTGCAGAGTTTGCATACATAGCAGCTTGTGCTTCCATTTCCAGAATCTTCAGCACTACCTCACCTGAGAAAAACTGTCTTAATTTTTCTTAAGTACAAATATACTTAATTAGGGCTATATATATTTTACCTGGATTCCTACCTGCGCCACTTATAAATGTAAACATGCCTGGCTCCTGTTGTCAGTGTCCCACTGCTGATTTTTTTCACTTTAATGTTATAATTCACTGTCGCCTGGAAGTTCCAGATTTGTTTTTGCGAAATTTTACATATGAAAGCTTAATTGATCTTATTACTTTAGTTAAAACTGTTTGATTTTAAACAGTGGCCATTTAATTCTCAGACTTCTCATGAACCATTACATAAGAGTGTAAACATTACAATAGCTTGTTCTAAAAACAAGTGTGTGAATACCTCAGGCAAATATAATTTTTAGTGGTCTGTCTTCACTGATACCTTTGGAAAAGAAATTTAAAGAGAGAGGTACAAAGGGAATGTGTCAGTATATCCTGGAATATTGTATCAAAACTAGTTTTGTCTTCATATTTCAGTTTTTATGTGTATATTAATGTTGGATATCCAAACAAACCAGGTATAGTCGATTTAATATCTGAAAAGTAAATGTACTACATGAGATGAGCTAGATCCAACCTAGACTTTCTTAACAGAAACAGAAGAAGTAAGTTTTCATAAAATGATTTATAGCAGACAGATGGTAGGGAAGAAGGTTTTGTCTCTGTCTTTTCTTCCCCCAGCATGAATTTTCTTTCAGTATCAATCCATTACCAGTAAAGATCTAATTTTTGCTCTTCCTTTGAACTGTTAAATATCATCTACAGTTTTCCCAAAGTTATCAGTCTAAACTAAGATCAGAGTTGGACTGTTTTCTTTATCGTATTCAAACAAGTGATGGCTATGAGCAATTTCTACTGTGTAGGTATCCTGTACAGTTTTTGCAGAGGAAAATTCTTCCTTTTGCCAAAGGAAGTGAAGAGAAATATTCCTTTTTTGGGGGGGAAAGAGAATCAGAAAACTTTATTTTTTCCTGCTGCTATATGGAGCCTAAGCAAGTTGAAAGAAATGCCTAAGAAGCTTTCAGATTAATCATTGCCCTGGAGAAACTGGCTGCTCATGGCTTGGATGGGTGTGCTCTACATTGGGTGAAGAACTGGCTGGATGGCTGGCCCCAGAGAGTTGTGGTGAATGGAGTTAAATCCAGTTGGTGGCCAGTGATGAGTGGTGTCCCCCAGGGCTCAATACTGGGGCCAGTGCTGTTTAATATCATTATCAATCACCAGGACAAGGAGACTGAATGGACCCTCAGTAAGTTTGCAGATGACACCAAATTAGACAGGAGTGTTGATCTGTTTGGGCGTAGGAAGGCTCTACAGAGGGATCTGGACAGGCCGGATTGATGGGCCGGGGCCAACTGTGTGAGGTTCAACAAGGCTGAGTCTGTGACACTACAGGCTTGGGGAAGAGTGGCTGGAAAGCTGCCCGGAGGAAAAGGACCTGGGGGTTGTGTTGGTCGACAGCCAGCTGAATGGGAGGCAGCAGTGTGCCCAGGTGCGCAAGAAGGCCAGTGGCATCCTGGCTTGTGTCACAAATACTGTCCCCCTGTGCTCGGCACTGGTGAGGCCACACCTTGAATGGTGTGTTCAGTTTTGGGGCTCCTCAATACAAGAAAGACATTTTGGTGCAGGGATGTGCCCAAAGAAGGGCAATGAAGCTTGTGAAGGGTCTAGAGAACAAGCCCTCTGAGGAACACCTGAGGGAACTAGGGTTGTTTAACCTGGAGAAAAGGAGGCTCAAGGGAGACCTTACTGCTCTCTACAACTGCCTGAAAGAATGTTCTAGTGAGGCAGGTCTCTTCTCCCAAGTAACAAGCAGTAAGTCAAAAGGAAATGGCCTCAAGTTGCACCAGGAGAGGTTCAGATATTAGGATATTGGATATTAGGAGAAATTTCTTCACTGAAAGTGTGGTCAATCATTGGAACAGGCTGCCCAGGGAAGTGGTAGAGTCACCATCCCTGTAAGTATTTAAAAGACGTGTAGATGTGGTGCTTAGGGACCTGGTTTAGTGGTGGACTTGGCAGTGCTAGGTTAACAGTTGATGATCTTAAAGGTCTTTTCCAACCTAAACAATTCTGTGATTCTATTCTTTGATTCTGTGAAGCATTTGGAAGGTTTTCATGAGGACTGCTACCCTGTCTCCCAGCTTTCCACCAACCTTTCTAACAGTAATTGCAGCAAACGGGACTTGCTCTCCTGTTTTCAGATCTGAGTAACCTATGTCTTTGTATGGCTAGGATACCTACTGAAAAATTTGCATACAAAGTTCAAAACATACATACGGTGTCTATCACTACAGTGTAAAACAACATGGACTATTAAAATAGTAGGAAACAGACAGGGTATCCATTACCTGAGATCTATGGAGAGTAACTATAATTCATAAGATACACATCTGTTCCATATATTTTCTGTGTATATTTTTATGCAATTGATATATGCAGTACACGTATAAATACACATATTTATACCTGACCTTTTTTTTTTTTTTTTTCCTCCCCAGAGAGTAATATTCAACGTTGTCAACTTCAGTAAAACAAAAAGCCTCTATAGAGATGGGATGGCTCCAATGGTGAAATCCACAAGCAGACCGAAATGGTGAGTTACCCTTTCAAAGACTTGCTTAATGAAACAAAAGTGTTTGACTTGGCACTTGTACCAAGGACCTTATGGCTGAGGCGCACCTTTTGGTAAGAGTAGGAGAGAACTCTGATGCAAAAGCCGTGTTGTGAGAACAGGTTCTCTGTGGAGCAGATGAACAGTATGAGCTCTGGAGGCCCCTTCCAGCCTTGCTGTGGTGGTGTGTTGAAGTGACTTGTTTCAAGTAGCATGACTGAAGTGAAGTCCGTTCAAGGAAATTGAACAGTCAGGGCCTGGGCCAAATAATTTTCAGTGACATTCTCACCATCTAACTATTAGGACAGTCCCTGACCCTGCTTTGTCCTGTGTCAGCCAGCAGTCTCCCAGACAAAGCCTGCAAACAATATGGGAGATGGACTGGGCCTGGATGGGTTCTGAGAGGCGTTCGGATTTGTTCTATCTGTTCCAGGTGTGGTCGGGGTTTAGTGGAAGAATGTGAGCTCTGCCATGTGAGTTGACCTCAGGTGAATGAGCAGTGTCAGGTCTGCTTTATCTAAAACAGAAGACGGCCAGATAACCTGGTCGTAACCTACACAACACGGAAAGGCTTGCACATAAGACACACATGTATACCCATATACACGGTACATTTTCTCAGAGCAAATTAATGAAATGTCTACTGTGAATAATAATATGTAAATCTAATGAGTCCTAATGTATGCAAGACTCCCAAGAATTACATGATTTGCCTTTAGCTAGGAGACTTGTTTGAATATGGATGGTGAAGTTAGGCCATAAGTGTACAGTAATGTATTCTTATAAGCCTTTACAGCTGCTACTTTTGATTGGTTAATAAATAGTACATTTGATCAAGCTTCATATTATCTGAGACTTATAAATATATCTTTCTTAAATACTTGAACTGTCACAAAATTTGCACCCACAAGATGTTAACTTCTGGTGGTCATTTTGTTAATGTTAACTTTTGGTGGATCACTGTTATTGTATGGCTTCCTCTTCATATGACCGACAGAATGACTTATTTATTTTTTTTGTCTAGATGGTAAGGTCATCATGAGCTGTCTCACAGGACAGGTAGTGAATGGAGTCAATTCCAGCTCAATAGGAGCATGTAATAACATTGAAAATTAATTAAAAAAATCCATTGTGTTTAGTGTTTTTGTAGCAAAAGTCATGTTAATTGTGTTACTATTCAACTTCAGAAAAATCTTTGGGGGCATTTCAGGGCCACATTTATCAAGCGCACTTTAATCATCCTTCAAAACCCTTTCCTTCTCTCACTAGGGTCTGGTATTGCAGCTAAGTTTATTGTGTGTTAAGTTTATCTATAAATCAGACATTGCTTTCATACAAATTTTATGCCTTACTTTGGTTTCAAATTAAAGTGTAAATCTTACAAAACAATGCAAAATGGGCTTTTTCTAGAACATATAGGCTCCTTCACTATTTTTAAAACAGATTTCTATTCCATTTCCCCAGAGATCTATTTATTTTTGTGTTTTATATTTTTAGGGGATGTATTTTGCTCCCATGAAAGTGAGGAATGAATAATATTGCCTGGAGCCAGGCACAGTGTAGGCAGTAGGTGTTGAGCAGCTTCCTTGTACAGGGCTACTACCAAACTTTAATCCTGTTTCAGAAACTCTAGCTGTAATTTTTTTCTTTAAAAAGATCATTACACTGTTAAGGTATTTTTATTTTTTTCTAATAATCTGTTTATGAAAACATCTTGCTGTACTTTGAAGGTGCACATTAATTCATACTGTTATCAGGGACCTTGGTGATATTGGGGTCTACTCACTATAATTTCTGTCTCAGTGTTAATAGGAATTATGCATGTGTTTTCCAAGTGGGAGAAAACATACATTATTTTTGGATATATGCTTTCTATTAGAGCTGTTTTCCATTTGGATTATGCCTTTTACAGTTACCTCTGTATCTGTTTCCATGGCATTCCAGAAAAACCTGTAAACAAAATTTTCTCTTTGCAGAAATAGGATTTACTGGTACTTGCAGTTGCTAATGCAACATACAGGTAGTTGTAGTGCTTGAACATGAACAGCACAATATCCAGCTGCATCGATCTGATACTGTGTGATGCTTTGTATATATTAGTCTAGCAAGCAATACTGAATCATTCACTGCTGCAAAAGTGCTGAGGTTTCCACAAGGGTACTCAGGATTCAGAACTGTGGGAGGAAACTATTGGAACTCTCCACCTTGTATGAAGATTTAAGTCAGCATTAGCAGGTTAGTGGATATAATGTGATTAAATTAGAAAATGATATATTAATTACAAAAGTAAAAGAAACGCTAAAGTTTTTAAAATCGAGTTAAAAGGAAGATTACCAGAAGCCATAGTCTCCAAATATTCTGAAACAGAGCTCAGTCCTTCATCTATGAACTGTTCTGTACTAAATATTTGAGGAAATCATGATTATTGTGCCTGCCTGTGCAGGTGTGTAATCCATACTAAAATTCTCCCAGCTTCCTCTGGTCACACTGATAGAAGCAATGCTGTGTCACACATAACTATTCCACTCCCTTTTTTATATAATCAGGTTTGAGTTTTAGGGTGATAAAGTATCAATTTTCCTTTTTACATGTGAGAGATGTAGGCACATTACTCCTCTTACCAAGAGATATTCAAGCCTGAGTTAATGTTCTTTTGATTTCAGTGAGAAAGTTCCCACTGTATTCCGGACAGAATTTGACCACAGTGCTCTGAAAATCCTGCATATCAAGAGTAGATTGGCCTCCAGAGACCATGAATTTTAATATTTGCTTTGAATGTTGTTATGCAAACATGGCTCCGAGCTTTGCAACATTTTTTGAGTTTGATTCTTGACTTTGGAACAAATCACTGCCAAGTGCTCTTGAAGTAGAGAGTGTGTCAAAGACGGATCAACGTTTTTGACCTGTATTCTCTTGCCCTGTGGGGTAAGATCTTTAAATGCAGTCAGCATCAAGGTTCAGCTCAGTGTTACTGATGGAAATGGAGTATATCACTGTCATCAAAGCACTCTATGTGGACACAGATGTGCTGGTGTTGACATATTCTTCTCTTTTGAAGTAAGGCCAAATATTTCCAGTAATGAGCTACTTAAAAAGAGGAAGCAATATGCTGAAGGATAAGGAAAAAAACCAGAAGATTTCATGCTAAAGAAAAAGATCATTTTTAAAAAAGAAAAAACCCGATCAAAATAAATTCTGATTAAAATTATATCTATTTTCCCCATACATGGCAATGGGCTTACTGAATATTCTTTCCCAGAGGGATAGAGCAAAATAAAAAACTAAGCAGGTTGAGTTCTAAGTCCCTCTTATGGGAAGGGGGACTCATGAATTTTTCTATGATTTTGGTGGATGCGCCATGTTGACACTAAATAGTATGGTTCTGTGGCAGTTGCATTGGTCAAATTTCACTGCCGTGCATCACAGCTCATAATAAGAAATGTAGCATTGTGTCGCACCATGTTACGTCCATCACACTTCATAGCAAATTGGACAAGATAAACCTCAAGTTTTTATTTCAAGCCAGTGGAAGGTGCTGCGTCTGATCACTTAACATTTTTGCTTAAAATTAACTGATTGTTCAGAAGTATTACACCAAGATTTTAGAGAATTGATGTTTTTTTCTCAATAATGACTGCTACAGATATAAAAACCTCAACTACTAAAATAGAGACCAGTTGAGTCCTTTTTTTTTTTTTTGTTTTTTGTCTTGTGGAGGTGAAGATTTGAGGGGAGATGGAGTTGAAGAAATATTTCTGCTGTAATCTTCTTTCTCTTTGCTGCTTCTTTTAAGTGGAACCTAGTTTTGTTGCAGTTTTTTAATCATGATTTCACACTAAAACTCTGTCCTTGGAAGGTATTCATGAAACCTACCATGTGGGCATAGCAGTGGAAGACCATTTAAGTACATATACTGTACTATTATATTGATTGCACGAAGTTTTACAAGTTTCTCAAAGTGAAATAGAAGAGTGAGGTGTTTGAGAGGCAGCAGATTTTCCAAATGATGAAGTGAGCAAATATTCCCTTTGGGCAGAGAACAGCTATAACTCTTGATTATTCAGTGTGAGCATTGCCTCATTGGGGACATTAGTTTTTCAAATTGTGCTAATCTTTTAAAAGTAACAACTGGCCACTCATCACCTTAGGTATTTCAGCAAGATCATGTGCAAAACTCTAATTAGTATTTATAGAACAGCAACTCCTCCCAGTAGAATAGTAGCGGTAGCTGGCAAATATCTGGTTGACACCTGTTAAGTCTTCAGACATCCATTGTATTTTATTCTGCATTTCAAATGAGTAGAGAGCAGTAGGTGAAGTCCCCATAATTAAGGGATAAAAGATAATAAATAACATGGTTCTTGAGTGGATGAACACAAGGTTAAAGGCTGTTCTGCAGTTGTGATGCTGTATTTCAGGAATTGTTTGTTTGTAAGTAATAATGCTAGCTAAGATATTATGGAGCCTTCAGCATATGAGCGAGGTTTTATGTCTAGACTTACATGTGTTTTGTTTATAATGTCAGATTTCAAACTGCTTTTTGGCAAAGCAACTACTTTCTTCCCTGTCTTTTATCTCACTCAGCATTGATGGTTTTTAACTGGATAGCTGCCTTCTCCAGCAAGCACTCCACTACCTCTGTTGCTATAACATCTACTGTTAAATACTCACAACACATTGCTTCTGAAGTGTTTTTCTTTTCCAGTAAACCTGGGACTACAGAAAAACTTCTAGGTAATTAATTCAAATTTGAATCTATATGTATCTTGGTAAATATTGTCATGATGAGGAATTTTGGTAGACATCGAGAAAAGCAATGCAAGTTTTATGAACAATACTCCCATATGTTCCATTCATCAGAAGGGGACAAGACTGAGAAAATCTGAATTTTGAGCAGCTAAAATGTGTTGATTCTTGCCAAGTTTCTTTAACATTTGTGTCTACAAAGCAGTGTTACAATCACTACCATGTCTACCAGGCTG